GGTCAGCGGAGCCGGGAGCCGTAAGCGGCGGCGCGGGACTTGCTCCCCACGGGGCGGTCCGCGCTCCCCCGGCGCTCCGTCCGCGTGGGTCTGCGTCTCTGTCTCTGTCTCCGTGTGCCTCTGCCTCTTCCTCGCCATCACCGCAGCCGAGATGCCAGCCCTGGCCCCCGCCCTGGCTGCGGGGGCGGCCCGGGTTCTGCTGGCGCTGGCCGCGGCTCTCTGCTGGCCGCCGTGCGCCCCGGCGGCCGCGACGCTGAACACCGTGTTGGTGAACTCCAACGCCATCAAGAACGGGCACTCGGGGCCCGGCGGGGGCGGGGGCGGGGGCGGGGGCGGCAGCAGTGTGGCGCTGGTCCCCTTCTGGGCAGTCAGCGTGGCGCCCGGGGACAGCGTCCTCTTCGACCGACCCAACGGGTACATGCACGTGGACAACAAACACCAGGTGGGCACCGCGCCTGGGCACCCCCCCCCAGACTGTGGCGGGTGGAAGGGGGCGGTGGGAGTCTAGGGCATCACCAGCCTGGGGACCAGAGAGTTCCTCTGCAGACCCTGATGGACGGAGAGGGGTGGCAGGGAAATGCTCCTGGGAGCGAACTCTAGACGAATTGAGGAGATGCCTGGTGGGGGCGGAGTGGGGCTCCAGGAGCTTTCTGAGAAAGGGGGTGGTGACTACTGTCTCGTTGGGGGTGATGGCTGAGAGGCGCGGGGAGAACGCGGCGCGTCGTAGTGGGCGAGCTCTGGCCTGGGAGGCCGAGGATGCCCGGCCCACGCTAACTTCGCCACCAACGTCGCAACCTGCGTGCCCTCAGTCCTAGTGAACCAACTGCTCCAAATCTAGAATGTTACTGAGAGGATCGGGGATGGAAAGATGGAAGGGACTTTGGAGGTCATTCAACCCTTTTATTTCCACTACGGGGAAAATTGGGATTCAGAAAGGGGCGCGGAGGGTGACTTTCTCCAAGTCACTCAGGTAGTTAGGGGCAGCTGGCATTCTCCGAATATAACCCACTGCGGGCTGCTGCGAACATCAGTTTCTTCTTCTGTAAAATTTAGAGATTTGGGTCTGGAAGGACCCTTCCAGCTCAAAACAATCCATCAATGTGCCCTTTTTTTAGGAGCCTACTGTGTGCTAGACCCTGGGTTGAGCACCAGGGCTATTCAAAGACTAATACTCCAATCGACCGGGTTCAGATTCTGACTTCGTTTGTTTGTTTTTTGTTTTGTTTTGTTTTGTTTTGTTTTGTTTTGTTTTGTTTTGTTTTGTTTTTGTATGAGCTGTGTGACCTAGGGAAAGTGATTTAGCCTATTTGGGCCTCAGTTTCCTCTTTCGTAAAGTAAGGTTTTGTGGCGGGAGGCTGTCCAAGGCAGGTCCCTGTCAGCTCCAACTCCTAGGATCCTTCTTAGCCGGCTCAGAGGTCTCACCACGCCCTCCCCATCTTCTCTCTTCAGCAACATTTTATGTGTGTGGATGACAAGGATTGCGGTCTGGAAGAGTACTGCGACATCGGCTCCCGGGGCCTTAGCAGCCCAGGCGGCGGCGGGGGCGGCGGCAGCATCGGGGTGCAAATCTGCCTACCCTGTCGGAAGCGCCGCAGGCGCTGCCAGCGTACGGTCATGTGCTGTCCGGGAAATTACTGCAGCAATGGTGAGTGGCCCTGACGCCCTCCTGGATCCCCGTGCGTGCCTCACCTGGGCTTCACTCAGCCTTCACCTGGGGCTCCCCTAGCTTGGTCCCTGGGGGAAAAATGTGGAGCCCTGGAGCCCCCTCCCAACGTAGGGAGGCCACACAGCAGATTACAGCTTCTGAAGAAAAAGAAGTTCACTTTCTCCCGTTTAGGAAGAGAGGAAGGTGATGGCAGGAAGCCTGGGCCCAGACAACTTACCTTGGCATTTCTCTCTCTGACGGCACCCGTCAGGAAAGCATACAAACCTTAAGTGTGCCACAGAAATGACAACTAGTGGTGGTGGTGGTGGTAGTTGTGGTAGTAGTGGTGGTAGTAGTAGTAGTAGTAGCAATAGTAGTAGTAGCAATAGTAGTAGTAGTAATAGTAGTAGTAGTAGTAATAGTAGTAGTAATTGGGGCAATCTATTGTAGTGAAAAGAAAGATGTTTGGAGTCAGCACCTGCATTTGAATCCTAGTCCTGACACTATACTGCCTTTGTACCCCAAGGTCAAGACCCTTGTCCCACCTCTGCCCAGCCCCTTTCTCCTCCAGCTGATTTTATGCCTCTATAAAATGAGGCTTTGAACTCTATGCTTTCTCTCTTGGGTCCCTTGCCAGTCTGAAACCTAGACTGCTATGGAGGCACAGTAGACAGAGTGCTGGCCTTGCAATCAGGAATCCAAGGCTTCTGGATTTAGACATTTACTTATTACCTGTGTAATCCTGGGAAAGCTACTTAAGTTCTGTACCCCTCGGTTTCCTCCTGTGCATATCTTGGTTGTACATAGCTCTTTCTGGCGGTCTTCCCCCAGTAGATTGTGAGCACCTCGAGGGTAAGGACTGTCTTTTGCTTTTCTTTGTCTCCTCAGCCCTTAGCACAAGGCTTGGCACAAAGTAAGTGCTTAATGGATGTTAAATGATAATAATAGCATCAATTTTGCAGTGTTGTTGGGAGGCTCAGTTACTACTACTACTAATACTACTAGTACTACTATAGCTACTACCACCACCACCAGTACCATCACCACCACCACCACCACCTGTTAAAGTTATTAGCTCTCATTAGTTTTAGAGATTAATAACTCAAGTTACTAGGCTCTCAATAAAGCTTTGGTTTGGAGTAGAGGAATTAGGAGCTACATAAGAAAGGAGTCCCAGTGCCCAGAGCAGCACCAAGTGGGGCTGGGTGTACTTAAATTGCTATTTACTTTATTTTTCCATTTGTTTACATTTTAATAGAAGTAGACCTAGAGTAGAAATAGAAATTATCCAATGACTACAATAAATGACTCCTGTTTCAAAAGAACATGCACGGTCCAGTGGAGAGAATGACTCTGAAGTCCAAAGGCTTAGGTGCCAATCTTGCCTCTGATACTAGAGCTTTGATCATCTGAATGTGCGTAAGAGCAAATATTTATCTTCAAGGAATCTCTGAGATCATCTAATCTAACCCCTTCTTGTGTAGTACAATAGAAGGAGATCCTAGTGTGGAGTTAGCAGGCTTGGCTCCCCAACCTGACTTTGTCCTTTACTGATGGTGTGGTCTTGGACGAGTTGATACTATTTCCTCATTTGTAAAATAAGAGGGTTGGCCTGGTGACCTCTGAGGCTCCTTGGAGCTGACCTCTATGGTCCCTCCCACTCCTCCATCTTGGATCCCACTGATGATGCAACTAAGACCTAGAGATCTGGGGTCTATGGATCTAGCAGCTTGGGCAGAGTCTCAGCTAGTAAGTGGATCAGCTGGGATCTGAACCAAGATCTTCTGACTTTGAATCCAGACTCTTTCACCTGAGTCATGCTATAGATATGCACCAAAATACTTATCTGTGTGTGTGTGTTTTTCATTTGCTAGCACAAACCTCCAAACCTCCAACCCCCAAAATTGGCATGTTCACACAAACTCAGTTGTACACAGAAAGTGCTTTAAAAAGTCTGGATTCTGGCCTTTGTGTTGTTAGGTATGTGTATCAGGGATAGGCAGCTCATCACTTACTACTGCTGTGGCCTCTTAGTTCCTTGGGGTTCCCATCTGGAGAATGAGGAGGTTTTAATTGATAACCTCTAAGCTCCCTTTCAACTCTATATCTTTACCTTTATTATAAACTGAGAGAGAGAGTTTTGTGGGGCATGTAAAACGATGGTTCACCAAACGGGTTATAATCCTGGGATAAAGTGACCTGGATGGCCAATAAAATAGCACATCTGAGGCAGAGACTTCAGCCCTTGACCAGCACCTCTTGCTTTTTTTAGGGATATGTGTGCCTTTGGATCAGAATCACTTACATGCAGTAGAAATGGATGAGATGACCACAGAACCAGTGAATAATGACCACAGTCTCTTAGAAGGCCAACCTAGGAGGACCACTCCATCTGCCAAGACCAAAGGTAAGAGAATACATGACCCTCCTCCCTTCCAGTGATGGCATCCTGCTCTCCTCCCCAGGAAGCAAGGACCAACCTTTGCATTTAGGATTGGACACCAGGATTGTAATCCCAACTCTGTTACTTACTAACTGCCAGTAAGTAACTTCTCTGAATCCCAGGGAAATGGGATAGTGAAGTATAGTAGAAAGAGTACTAGGTTTGTTCTCAGAGGATCTGGATTCATATCTTGACTCTACTATCTACATGATCTTGGGAAAGTCCTTTAACATCTCTGAGCCTCAGTTTCCTTAATTAAAAAAATAAGGCTGTTGGACAAGATGTTTCCCCTATCTCCAAAGCGCTACAATTCTATGAATCACAGAATCTCAAGAATTAGAAGGTTTATCAGGAGCCATCCAGTCCAAACCCTTATCTGGACAATAATCCCTTCTAACGCCTACCTGTCAGTTGGTTATTCAGTTTCTGACTGAAGTCATCAAAGGAGGGGGACCCTACCGCCTCCTGAGGCAGGCATTTCACTTTGGAGTTTCATTATCAAGCTGTTTTATTTTTCCCCCTGACTTCAAGCCTAAATTGACCTCTTTACCTCCACCCACTGCTCCTTGTTGCCATGTCAAAGAGATATTATTTGCAGAAAAGTGCTTAGTACAGTGTGTCTGCACACTGTAGGCACTACATAAATGTTTTCCCCACTCCCAACTCTGGGGTCAAAAAGAAGAAATCTGATTTCTCTTCTTCATCAAGAACAGTTTCAGTAAAATGAGAATATTTATACTACCTGCCCCAGATTGTTGTTATGAGAAAGAAAAGCATCACAGAATGAGTTTAGAGTCCAAAGATCGAAAAGTCCTGGCTCTGCTGCTTACTACCTGGGCAAGTCACTTACCTCCCCCGGGCCTCAGTTTCTTCATTTGTCAAGTGAAGAGATTAAACTAGATGGCCCCACCCCCAGAGAAATCCAATGATCTGAGAGTACTATTTAAGCATAAATTATTACGGCCCACTGTAATAATTCCATCGATAAAAGAAACCACTGCTGCTGATATAGGCCGTTCACTCTACTATAGACAGTTGCCTGAGGTGCTCGAGGGGTTAAATGAATGGCCCCTGGTCACATAATGACTATGATCAGAAGCAGGATGTTAAACAGGGTCTTCTTTATGCTCGGTCATGCTTCCTCTCTCCGTGTTACGGTGTCTCAGAGAATGGAAGCGCCCTGAGGCCAGGGATTGCTACCTTTTCTCTCTGGTAAATGCTGGCTGGCGAACTGATTCTCGGCAGGTCACATTTTGCTCTTTTCCCCAGGTCAGGAAGGTGCCGTTTGCCTGCGCTCCTCCGACTGCGCCGATGGTCTCTGCTGTGCTCGACATTTCTGGTCCAAGATCTGTAAGCCCGTGCTCAAGGAAGGTCAAGTGTGCACCAAGCACAGAAGAAAAGGCTCTCATGGATTGGAGATTTTCCAGCGCTGTTTCTGCGCGGATGGCCTGTCCTGCCGCGTGCAGAAAGACCATTTAACCAACAACGCTTCTAGGCTTCACACCTGCCAGAAACACTGAACCGCCCTTGGGGATGGCGGCTGCTGATGGACTCCTGTGTTTGACATCGAACCTTTTCGGGGAAGGACACTTTCAGTGTTTACAGTTGCACTCTCCAAATGCTCCTTCCGGAAGCCTGGAGTGCAAAAACGGCTTTGTTTCTGTAGGAAACGAACTCTATCCAGTGACTGTTTGCAGTAAATTACTGTGTTGTAAATATCCAATGTGGCATTTCCCTGTACATGCTCCCAAACTTTTAATTATTTTTCTAAAAGTGCCGCATGGTCCACAATTTACCCACAACCTGTAAATTTTGTACACACTGGTGATGTTATCTTGAGTCTGATAAATGTTCTATTTTAATTGAAATAAATGATTTCCGCTGAAAGGTTTTGTCTTCTCCCTTTGTTAAGCAGAGGTGAGTGCTCATTTGCCTTTTGGGAGAGATCACAGACTTAGAGTCAGAAGGAACTGTAAAAGAAAATCCAGGCCAGCCACCCCTTCATTTTAGGGACTAGGACAGGTGAATTAAGTGACTTACCAAGGTCACATAGGTAGTGGGCAATACCGACCCCAAGCCCTCTGACTCCAAATGTGACTCCACTGCACCAAACACGGGTGGAATGATGGGCTTGGAGTTAGGAATAACTGGATTCAATGGGCACCTCTGACCTTCAGGAGCTCTGGTAACGTTGGACAAAGTGGAATATTTCCTGGTGCTTCAGACAATTTCCCAAGGCTTTTCAAGCACTTACACCTAATAATTTCTTTAGGGGATGAATTTCCCACACCAGAAGTTATCAAATTGACAAAAATCCCATCTTTCTCCTCTCTTTGACTAGCTCATCATACTCAAGTATCTTAAACTACAAAAGCCTGCTCCCTGGCTAAAGGGGAGAGGTCTGTTGTTGGGATAGGGACGACACTGATTCATTCAAATATTCTTATTTCTAAGCAGTCTCAGAATAAAACTCACAAGTGGAAAAATGTGGAAAAATCACAAGTCAAGATTAGTTTTGGTGTCATTATCTTTAATTTTTTTGTTTGTTTACGTGACAGAAAATATGTGATTTTTTTTCAGGGTTATTCTGGGGCAAGATATAATCAAAATCTAAGATGATGTCATCAGCCCCAACTGATAAAAAGCAAAAATCTCCCAATGAAATCTTAAAGTACTTGATGAGGTCAAATAACTCACTCTCCTAGAGTATTTTATGGTTTGCAAAGCATTCTCTATAAATGACACAATTGTCCCACCATGGATGGTATAATAAATTCTAAAAGACTAACTAATTTCTAACTATAATTTACATTTCTATACCACTTTAAAATTCAGAAGACCCTGAATCAGCATCAGCCTGATCAGGTAGTCTGACCATTATCATACTCTTTGTAGAGATGAAAAGTGTTGACCTTGTGAGGTTTAGTGACTGGCCCAAAGTCACACCAGAAGACATCAGAACCAGGTTCTGAACCGAGATCTGACTCCAAGTTCAAAGCCCTTTCTGGTTCACTCTACATCAACCTTAAGACTCAATTAATAACAATTAGAACTAAATAAATAGAATAAACCTAAGAGTCATGCTGTATATTTGTAAAACATTTGGGGCAATTCAAATTCAGCTAATGATCAAAAGGGCAGATGGACAGGTCCAGGAGCTGAAGAAGACAACTGAAAATATCTTAGAAGTTAGGAGGCTGCCACTGTGCTGAGTAACCAATGAAAGGATGTATTTTGTGGGGCCATCAGTATATTTCAAATTTTGCTGGAGGTTGACTCCTGCCGTTGGAAGGCTAATAAGGCATTTAATTTTCCTTCCTTGACATTTTGATTTGCCAAGTATGACCGAGTTTTGACTCCACCATCCATATTCCTTTTCTGTGATAAAACAGAGCTCTCACTGTCTCCGCTACTGGGAATACAAAACTGACTCATGCCTTCAAATCTTAATTGGCAACTTTCTCTTTGCTCCACAAATTCTACATGGGCATCCAATCATGGATCCTTAGGGCTGCCTCTAATTCTTTCAATGTTAAATTGATACCAATGGAATACATAGGGGCTAAGCCTCTGTCCCCATTGTTCTCTCTCTACATGAAATCTAATTAAACAATGTATTTATTGTGGTTTAGTCCTGTGGTTTCATCAAATTAGTGTCTTTTACCACCACTTACGGTCTAAAAGCAGACTCTTAAACTGGTGTCCATGGTCTCTCAAGTGAATAGAGTTGGAGGGGGAGGGGTCTATAAACTTGGTTGGGAAAAATTACATCTTCATTGGTTTTTTTTTTGTTTGTTTTTTTAAGTTTTTTTTTCTTTCTTTCTTTTGGAGAGGCAATTGGGGCTAAGTGACTTGCCCAGGGTCACACAGCTAGTGAGTATCATGTGTCTGAGGCCGGATTTGAACTCAGGTCCTCCTGACTCTAGGGCTCTATCCACTGTACCATCTATACATCTTTATTGTTATGAAGCTTTAGCATTTCCTTCAATTGTTTGAAAACATGATTCTTACATAGTATCTTTAGATTTTACCAGATTGCCTGAGGAGTCCATGACACGAAAAACCAGAACTGTGTCTTAGAGAATTGTCTGAAGTATTGAAAGGTTAATTGACTTGGCATTTGTCAGACAACTCAGATGCTTGAGGGAGGACTTGAACTCAGGCCTTTCTGACTTATCCATGACATCATGCTACCTCTCACCTCATCTGTGTGTGTGTGTGTGTATATATATATATATATACACACACACACACACACACACACACACATATATCTGTTTTGATGCTGTGTGGTTTATATGGAGGAAAGGGAGAAGAGCCCTTATTTTTCTACTCAATTCTTGCCTCTCCATACCTGGGAAACTCAGTGCTCTGGGCATTTAAAAGATAGTAATTGAACAAGTTCCAAAAAAAAAAAGTTTCTCAGCTTTGCAGCCAGAAAGGGAGATGTTCAAGAATTGGCTTGTTCCCTAAAGCATTTCAGATTTAGGGGACTTCAAGGTCTGCCCCTAAACTGAAGGGCTAGGATATTTCCTTACACTGTCTTTTGTTGGGAAGTTTCAGCTTTCGTGCCTAGGAGAAATTTTCTCTTCCTCTGTGGATGAGCTTTGTGCATTGCCAGGAAGGCCTGATGCTGAGGCCTGGATTCTCAACAAAGTACAACAGACGAGAGGAAACAGGAAACTGCTTTCTCTCAATGACTACTTTCTCCCAAGACAGAAGAGGCCTCTATTTGAGAGGAATAGGCTTTGAATTTGACAGGTCCTAGTTATCTGATCCCTTCCTTGCCGTAGGAATAAAGAGGCTAGAGCTGGAGAACAGCATCTTTCCAAGGGTACTGAATTTGGAGAGGACTTGAGGACCTGACCCTGCTGGGTACTCTAACTGCGACCTTGGGCAATCACTTCAGCTCTCTGGAGCCCAGTTTCTTCAGAGGTAAATTGAGAGGATTGGACAAGACAACCTTGAGGTCCCTCTCACCTCTAAATTGATGAACCCACATTTACCATCCAGACCAGCCCATCCTTCATTGGAACTATGTCTTCTCTCCAGTCCTCCCTTCTTTCATTGCTTCATTTCCCACCCTTACCGATGGCCACTCTGGCCCTCCTGCTTTTCTCCAATTCAGACTCCATCTACCCCCTAGACTCGAATAGGTCATCCAGGTTGCCCCTTCATGCCCCTTTCCAAACCACTCCACCAACTCTTGTTCCCTATTATGTGTTGACTTCCCCTATTAGAGCATAAGCTCCTTGAGGGCAGAAACTGTCCTGCTTGCCAGCATTTGTATCCCCAGGACATAATGCCTTTATTGCAGTTCTGACCAAGTAACCCTCCCCCCCACCCCATTAAGTAAAGTCTAGTCCCCTCCAGCAGTAAGTATATAACATCCTCTCTTTGCCTTTTAAATCCCTTGAAAACCTTGTCCCCTCCTGCTTTTAATATACCTTACTCACACCCCATGTGTGTGACCCCTTTGCTGTTCCTCTTCCATATTCAGGCTCCAGGCATTTTCACAATCTGTCCGCTGTACCTAGAACTCTCTCCCTCCTCATGTCCACCTTTGGCTTCCCTGGCTTCCCGGCTCAATTGCTGGGAATTGCTCAATCTTCTGTAAGAAGCCTATCCTGATTCTCCATAATTTTAATGCTTTGATTCATTACTTCCCATTGGTTTCATATATATAATAACTATGTATTATGTACAAACTACATACAAACAAAAGATAGATAGATAGATAGATAGATAGATAGATAGATAGATAGATAGA